GTCTGAGTTTCTCATCCCCCAAGCTCCAGAGATGCTGTAGCCTTTGCTGCCCTTAACCTTGACTCCACTCACATGCTCAGCCTCTCAGCCCAAAGCAGAAAATTCCTTAAGAGGAGAGGAGTTCTCAGAAGTCCTTTCATCGCTGTGCTTTGCTTCTGACTTTGTGGCTCTTCTTGTAGGGTTGCCTGTGTTTCATTCAGCTTTTCCCCTTGTTGTTCACGAATATCAGTTTGCCTTTCCCAGAAAAAGAATGCCTAGCTGGGGGCGGCAGAATAGTAGCAACTTGGGAGGTAGAGGCAGGGGAATTGAGACTGAAGGAAACCCTCAGTCAGAGCAAGTGGGGGTGCTGCTTGTATTCAGGTGGCTCTTTGTGCTGCTATGATAGTGCACAGCAAATGATCACAGCTTCTCAGTGTACACAGTACAAACATTTCTGTCTTCTGCATCTCTGGGTCAGCTGGGCATAAGCTGCCCCAGGTGAGGCAACTTGTTCTCAATCTGTGGGTCTGGCCGGGCTGGGCTCTTCACCAGGCTGGTGCCACAGCTGTTCACACTGAGCATCAGCTAATGCGGCAGCAGCTACCCAGGGGCAGCGCTTTTTAAGGTGGAGGCAGACATGTTTTTGTCTTCTGCTTACATGGCATCCCCTGATAACCCTGGGCCAAAGCAAATCACATGGCCCAGGTGAAAATCGAGGGTCCGATAGGCAGGCATGTCTTTCTGCAAAGCTACAGAATATGGGCACAGCTCCAGGGAGGGGTGAAGAATTAGTGTGGGCAATGAGCAGTTCCCGGAGCCTGTGATCACTCCTGTAGGGAGTGGGCTGGTGGGGAAGACCTCACTAAAAGGGGGTCTTGGGAGTATTCAGCACTGTGACTGAGCACTGTTTCCTGTTGACCTATAGCTTCCTACCCCTTAGGTGGTCTTCCTCCTTACCCCACGCAGGTTTCTGCGAGGATGATCATCCCTGTGAGCAAGGTGGGGAAGGAAGGATGGATAGAAACACAAAACAGAGAAACAGGACACAAGCAGAAGTCAGCTGCAACTGGATGTTGGATCTTTGGATGACACTAAACACTGTGAATGACTGTTCACACTAAACAATGTGGATGACTGTTCACACTAAACACTGTGGATGACTGTATGACACTGAACACTGTGGATGATGTTCACACTGAACACTGTGGATGACT